GTCCTGTCTAGATGCAGTAGAAGATGAGCAGAGCAGACTGATGGGATGAAAATAAGGAGATCTATACCCTAGCTCCATTATTCTTCAGACCAGAGTTGGGAAACAATTTTGTTTCCTGAACATCTCCACATGGCAGTTTCCCCCCACTGACACACCTTTATGTGGTGAAAGACCTCATGCTTACAAACAAGGAGACCGGTCCAGCATGTCAAGGGACAGGGAAGTCCTGGCTGCCATGACCATGAGATGATGGAGCATAGGATCCTGAAAAGTGGGAGCAAGACAAAAAGCTGGATCACAATCTGGACTACAAACCTGGACTGGTTTCTGAAGGTACATCATCAGCAAAAGGAAGACTGTGGATGCATCCATAAAAAATGCACACACACCCATGTGTGGGCTAGCGTACCTAACAAAAAGGAAGTGCAAAAGGCCAAGAAACTTGATGTTTTCTTCACCTTGGTCCTCACTGGTTAGACCTACCTTCAGGAACCCTATGGCCAAAGGAAATTTAAACAACTTATGCGAGTCCATGGGACATGGTATGGTGCACCCATCAGTACTGTAGGAGCTGGCCGATATCTGTGTGAGGTCAGTCTAGATTATCTCTGAAAGATTGTGGCAACTGGGGAGGTTCCTGACAACTACAAGAAAGCAAATGCTGATACTATCTTCAGGAAGGGCAAGAAGGAGCTGAGAAACCGCAAGCTAGTGAGATTCACCTCAGTCTCAGGGAAGTCACCTCTCTCCCTGAGAAACAAACAGAACAAACAGCCTTGGAAACCATTTCCAAATATCTGAATGGCAAGAAGATGACTGGGAGCAGACAGCATAGATCTGTGAAGGACAAGTTGTGCTTAATTAGTGCAGCAGTCTTCTACAATATGGTGAGTGACCTGGTGGGTGAACAGAGAGCAGAGGATGTTGTTTGTCTTGACGTTAGCAAGTTCTCAATGTTGTCTCCCACAACATCCTTGTAGGCAAACTGATGAAATACAGACTAGATAACTGGATAGTGAGGTGGGCTGAAAGCTGACTGAATTACTAGGCTTGACTGGTTGCAGTTAGTAGCACAAACCTAGCTGCAGGACAGTCACTAGTGGTGTTCCTCAGCAGTTGGTAATGGGCACCAGTAAGATTTTCATTGATGATCTGTATGACGGAATGTCATCACAAGTTGATCCTTCCCCTCTGCTCAGCCCTAGTGAAACACATCTGGAATGCTGTGTCCAGTGCCAGGTACATTTACCATGCAGGAATGAATCCAGTGAAAGGTCACATGTGAAAAGGATGGTCAGTTTCCAATGTGAGGATGCTCAAACACTGGAATAGATTTCTCAGAGCAAAGTAAAACTGGTTGTGGCCCAGAGTAACCTTCTCTGGATGTATCCATTTTGAATAGCAGAGTGGGCTGGACCATTTCAAGAGGTCCCTTCCAACCTCAGCTGCAGCTGTGTGATAATACTGAGTTACCTAAAACATGCTGTCCCATACTCTGGGAAAAAAAAATGGATCTCTAAAGATGATCTTTCTTGTTTAAAAACAAGAGTCTTTAAAAAGATAAAATAAAATAAAATAAAATAAAATAAAATAAAATAAAATAAAATAAAATAAAAACGTTGTATCTATGTAATTCCCGGCGCACTTGCACTACTTTTCCTTCAAGCTTTACCATATCAATTGATTCCAGTGCTTCATTGTCTTTCATCATCAGATTTTTTTTTCCCAATGAATAATCTGGATTTTCCTGATAAAATGTAAGCCACTATTTTTTTTTTCCATGGCACATTCTAAATTTAAAAAATAATAAGTAGCCCTTCTGCGTTTAGAGAATGCTCCTGTGTTCTCCCTTAGTCTTGTCTAAGCTGACTGCAATTTCTCCAGTATCAGCATGACAAAGTAGTGCTTTTCACATCACTGATCTTTCCCACTGCCCCCTTCTGGTTTCTCCCCAGTTGGCTCATATTTTTACTGAACTGCCCCAGCCTCAACATAATGCACCAACCATGGCCTCACCAATGATAAGTGGAGAAGGATGACTTCATCTATCTTGCAAGATGCATTCCTCTTACCAGAACCCAATACAATGTTTGTCTCTTTCACAATCCCATGACACAGCTGATTCATGTTCAGCATGTGATCTACTATAAACCTAGAGTCTTCTCGAAAGAGAACTGCTGGCTAAACAACTGTTCCCTGTCCCAGATCTGTCTAGTTACTCTATTTCTGCACACACGTAGCATTTTGCACCTGCATCACTGTACCCTTCCTTTTTCAGCCCATTTCTATAATTCTCAATCATTTTGAATTCTGACCATGACTAATAGCATATGTGCAGCTTTGTCACTACTCAAGTCATTCTAGAAGAGTGTGACCCAGGACAAACCCTGGCAGAACTCCACTAGCTACAGTTTCCATACTGGGAGTGATTAACTCACAGTTAAACTAATACTTTCCAAGTACAAGTTCTTTTGCTAACTACTATATCAGTAACTAATCTGGACAATATTTGGCTGTCAGAGGAACTTTATCAAGATAAAAGCTGAGATGGAACTTCATCCCATAAATCTTTTACCATATTGTAAAATGAAAGTTTGATTCCACATTAGTTGCTTTGAAGTATTACATGTTGTCTGCTGCCCATCCTTTGGGATTTCAAATATTTATTTGATATTTGTTCCAGATATATTCCAAGATTTAGAAAGTGGTCATGATTCTATCTCTTCCTTCTTCTCACTTTAAACTTAAAAATAAACTTTAAAATTCCTCATTTTAAACATTTAGTTGATCTTAATGCTGCCCAAAGGAAGGTTACTTTGTCAAGGAGTCTAGAGGGAAATGATGCAGGAGAGTATGTCAAAGCTTCCTGGCCTTGAATGATTCAAGGGAGGGGGCATCTACAACCTCACTGGGCAATGTGTTCCAGTGTCTCGCTACCCTCACAGTAAAGAACTTCTTCCTAATATCTAATCTAAATCTACCCTCTTCCAGTTTAAAAACATTTCTCCTTGTTCTGTCGCTAATATGTCCTTCTAAAAAATTCCCTCCCCACCTTTCTATAGTTCAGTTCTAGTATCCCGTTCAGGTACCAGAAGGCTGCTGTAGGGCTGAAGAGCCCCAGCTCTCTCAGCCTGTCCTCACAGAGGAGGTACTCTAGCCCTCTGATCATCTTTGTGGCCTCCTCAGGACCTGCTCCAAAAACTCCACGTCCTTCTTGTGTTGGGGGCCCCAGAACAGGATGCAGTGCTCCAGATGGGGTCTCACAGGAGCAGAGCAGAGGGGCAACAGTCCCAGCACCAATCCCTGAGGACTGCCACTCATCACTGGTCTTGGGGTATAATGTCTGACTAACAGAAACTGATAGCTCCTGTGCCAAAACCTGGAAAGACAGAGAACTGAAATATGCAGGTTTTTTAGATTTCCAGTACTGAAGAGTAATCGTTTTCAGAATAATAATAGTATATGAACCTCCTCCTGATTACTGTTCACCTTTATGCAGTTTTTTTTTCTGAGATAAAATGGTACGTTTCATTGTGGGTCTCGTTTATCAGATGTAGCTTTAAAAGCAAATGGTGTGTGCTCTTGCAGAGCACATGTACTTCCAGGGCACATTGCCTCAAGCAGTCAAATCAAATCAAATTGCTCCAGGCTGTGTGCTGTGAAGCATCTCAGAAGAGGACAAAATCTCCCACTAAACCTTTCCCCTCTCTCACTTTTCCCCTGACTGGCAGGTTTCCCCTCCAGCATTACACTTGCTGGCTCCCTGACAGGCTTTATTTTCCAGCAGCCCGACTGTCACCAGCTCCTGTTTTCCCAGAGATAACATTTCTGTACGTCAATGCTCACTATCAGTGTCACATTTAGCTTTAATCCTTTCTTAGCCTTTTGTGTGAGGTCTTTGCAGTCAGTACCTGTTGCAATGGGGGTCTTGTAAAATTTGCTTGCAAACTTAGTTAGGCAACCTGATTGTGTTTGATGGAAGTATCTTGAGTAAACAGCTTGTTATGTACATGGCCACTTGCTCAAGAGTTGAACGTTGCATTACTCATTTACACATGGGATGTTTTGAAAATAAAACCCAAGACACTGCCTTCTTATCAGATATTGTTTAACTCATTCATGTTTGTGAAGGATGATTTTGAAATTCCCTTTCTATAGTTTTCCTTTCCTCTTATGACTGTTTATAAAAGGTGACCAAGCTTATGACTACCTCAGAGTAATTAATCGAAACACAATTTAGGTATTTACATCCTGCCTATCTGAAATCTCCGTCTAGTTTCAATTGAACAAGGCTTTCCTTTCCACTTCCTAGCCTAAATTGTCTCTCTGGAATGTTAAATATTTGCCACAGATCACTCCAGCACTGGCTGCAGTTCAGGAGGAGATAAAGTGACCTCTGGGAACTATTTGTTACATTTTCAAGAGGTTTGGAGATCCTACAAGGAGGGGGAATGTCTCTATCTGTATACTGTACATATATTCTTTTTTTGCATGACTAATTAGCATGCAGTTTTAGCGTGCATTCATTTTGCAAACAGATAACCTGAATCAGAAAGCTCTCGACTTTTTCCGCCCACTTACAATAGAACCAACTGCAACTGAAGAACAGTGTCAAAAATTTGACACAAACACCACAACTCCCAATAAAAGGGGCCAAAAGCCCAGCAAGAGTGGCTGCAGCTGTAAGCAGGGTCATGAGTCTGACAGAATCTCACTGTAATCCAGGATTTATCCCAGTCCGGGGGCTGTGCTGAATGATCGGCACGGCAGGAAAGAGTTTGAGGAATGTGGTCTCAGTAATCAGGCTGATGAAGGGAAAACATTAAATCACATCAAGTTGTATTTGAAATTTCCCTTGCTATTAATCTAATGTGGGTTAAAAGAACATGAGGTAATTTAATAAGCTAAAGAAATATGAAAAAGCCTTATTTTTTCTCATAGAAATAAATCCTATTATGATCCTCAATGGGAAAAAAAAAAGAAAAGAAAAAAAAAAAAGCTTTTTCATTTTTTTTCATTTTTATAGAGCTAATTAACACTATTTAAATAATTACTTTAAAAACACCTTCTTCCATGGTTGTAATTTGGTGGACCAGGCCTCCAGAAGCCAGAACTGATGATGTTCCAATAGCCGCAGGACTTCGTTTTTGACCATTCCTGTTCTTTTTCCCTCCTGGACTTACACAGACTTCACATTCCAGCTCGGCAGTTTTCTCTGTGAAAATGTTGAGTAGACAGTCTTCTTTACTCTTGCATCCATCTGGCCATCCACAATAAGCCACAAATTTCAAAACCTGTCATAAAGATAAAACAAACAAAAACTCAACCCAAACCACCATGGAAATAGCCAAGTCAACTACTCCTCTTGAATTCTGCCAGCCTTCTATATAGACCCCTGGGGCCAGGTTTTCAAGTGCTTATTACACACAATTACTGCTGCTTTCTTAAAAGATGTTGCATATTGGGTGCTGAGCACCCACTCTCTTGTAAAGATCTGGCATACTAAATTATTTCAAGCAACAATTGTGCAATCCTAATTACCTGTTTACACACACTTAAATGAGTGGTCACAACCAAAGGCTATGTCTATACTGGTAAGAAATAAATTTGCCCGGGACCATTTCTGGCCCTGAGGTGAGCTGGTGCGGAACACCACGTCCATACAGTTAATTCCCTTATCCATCATAACAAAGCTGTACCCAACCTGCCCACTGTGAGCTGAACAGCCTTTGTAGACTGCAAGACAGCCCTGCCTGGGAGCTGCAGGCTGCTGGGAGCCTGCTAGTTAGTGCCAGCCAGAACTTCACAATGGAACATTTGCACTATTAAATAGCATGGATGACTGTGTACCAGGGCCCAGGAATGTGTGTTGCTTCATATACTAACCGTATGAACCGTATGCTTCATACAACCGTATGATGTTATTTTTTTTTTAATTATTCTGAACAAAAGTAAATGTCCCACTGTAAAATCGATGAAAGCTGTCCATGGACTTCATCCACTTTTGGCTCAACTGATAGAAAACATATATATTTATAGTGCAAATTGTTAGTATTTATTTTGCAGTATCTCCAAGGAACTCCAGTCAAGGACAGAGACCCTTGCACGAGCTGCAAATACAAAATAAGATGTGTCAAAGAGTTTGGGAGATAAGTGTTCTAGCAAATCCAACTGCTTTGGCTGCTGCAGATAGATGGGAGCTCTCTCTGCCCATGCTAATCCCAAGATTGGACATGTGGGAAGCATAGTGTTGAGAGATTCGTTTGTGCTGGCCAGGAGCCAGCTTGAGTTCAGATGTAGTCTAGACAAATCAGGCTGTAGCTGCCAAGAACTGGGGCTTGGGAGCTCGTAGGCAGCATCACGTAAATACAGTCTGACTTCTGCAGCCTGGAGCCAGCCAGCCCCATTCTGCATCCCTTTCCATGCCGTAGATATGTGCCCTTGCTCCACGTTGGTGTTCTCCAGGCATGCAGCTTCCATGGCTGGGACAGTGTGACCCATAGGCTGCGTCCAGGTGCCAGAGCTCCGCACAGGATGCACAACTCACCCCAGCTCCTCAACTCACTCCTGCAGCTATTTCCGTGCAATGGGCAGCCCGTGACACTGACTGAGCCATGAAGATGTGTTGGTGCCTGGAGGAACTTGTGGTTAATGCAGGCCAAAGCAGAGAGCACCAAACGTTCAGCAGCACAAACCTAAATTAATGTTGAATCTGTTGGGATCAACCAGACTGAACTATGCCTGACTCATGGCTGTATAAGAATGGTATTTTTCTATAAGCATTAGATATATATTCAGATTGCAAAATATATTTCATACCAAAAAAAAAAAAAAAAGTGTTTGTTTCTTTTTGTCATGCTCTTTGAAAATTATTGAATTTTTTCTTTGTGACAAAAAAAAAAGAAAAAAAGAAAAGAAAAAGCAGCACCAAGCAATTTGGAAAAACTACACAGCCTGTTTGTAGCACCTCCTGCACTGATGTGCTCACAGCTCAGCACCGCTGTCACCACTGTCAGCCCGTACATGGTCTCACAAGAGCATCACAACATCCTCCACACTGATGCATGATTCTTCTCCTGCAAAATTCCTGATCCCAGCTGCAGAGCTCACATCCCTGTGAGCCTTCTGCTGCAGCTGTGATGCTGTCGGCCCTAATCTCATCTTTTGTCTCCCCACAAGGCTCTGAATCCTGCTGCTTTTTCACCAGGAGAAGTTTCCTCTCATCTGAGTTCTGCTCTGGTGCTCTTGAAACTTTGCTTCAGCTCTTCCTAGAATCTGAATGTGAGTCAGCACCTGCTTCAGTGATCTCCATCAGCAACCACCACTGAGAGATACGCTTTGATTCTGTTGAACTTTCAGTTCCAGGTGCAGCACGATGCCAATGACTGCAGTGGGGTGCTTCTAGGAAATGGTGAAATAGGCACCTGAGGGTAGGGAGGCAGATTTGCAATCAGTCTGTATAGTGGAGGCATATCCACTGGAACTCCAAAGAGGTGAAGCAGTGCTCATCTCAACAAGGAGCTGCAATCTTCTCCCATTAAATATCTTCTGGGAAAATGAGTAAATTCTTCTCTCTTAGGGGATGTCCAGGGGCAGGTGAATTCCGAAGCTATGCAGATCCACCAGAAAGGCAAGTGGTGTTTCCTGGGTGCTCCGGAGCAGTAAAAAGCATGGCAGCACTGTCACCTTCTCACTGAGCATCAAGGTGACGTGTGCAGCTTTGTCCCAGCAAAAGCAGGTAGAGCAGAGGGATCTCCTCCCCTATCCTTCTGAACTGAGTCCAGGGTAATTTTTTTCCTTTGTGCATAATGCTTTTGTCTGCCCCTCATGTCATGCTGGTTGGCATTGATCTCAAGATAACCAGGAACAATACAGTTTTCCTCACCCACGGGTGTGGCAAATAAACAAATGAGGTATTGGTACACCTCAGCAAGCGCTTTGGTCCTTGGCATGGGGCCAGTAAGGCCTTCTGACCCTGTCCACCCCACCTGGGGTTTCCTGGTGACTGGGGGAAGCCTCACGCTGCTCCAGGATGCTACAGCTACATGCAGGGCCCGACCTGCAGGATCTTCTGCAGGCAATCCCATCCCAACACCATCTCCTCTCACTCTGGTTGTGCATATGATGGTGGAACCTAGGTTTTCAAGAAACATGTGGGTGTGACACTGAGGGACATGGTTTAGTGGCCATTGTGGTGATGGGTTGGACTAGATGATCTTAGAGGTCTTTTTCAGTCTTACTGATTCTATGACTCCATAATTCAATGATTCTATGATTGCATGGCTGCATGCTGAGGTCTCCAAAAAGGAGCTAGCCATAGGAGATAGTTGGGGGCTCGGTGCTTGCAGTGCGGTGTGCTTGCAGGATTGGCAGCAGCAGTGTACTGGCTGTGTGCCTGTTCTCATTGTACTCACACAGCTAAAAGGATTAGAGTTTCTGCTGATTTTCTGGGGTGACTGAGTGTAATTATAGCTCAGAAAGGGTTGTTCCAGATGAAAACAGCCCCGGAACAAATTATTACAGCTCTGCAGCCAGACTGGGCTCTTGCCTACCCTGCCTGCCCCATACAACTGTAGGTTTAGCTCCCTGCCCAGGGACCCCTGCACAGAGAGGGGATCAGTTTCCTTCCACACTCCTGTTCCTTCTCTGTCTCCAGTGCACCACTACAGCAGTGGGGAACAACCTCGATTCCCCACATGGGTGGGGAATGGCCAAAGGGACAGGCATAGGAGCCCAGCCTTTTCCTGGAGCACCCCCAAAGCCTTGCTTTCTGCCCTCTGCTTTGCTCATTAATCACAGTGTAATTTGTTTCCTGAAAGGAAGGCCCAAATGAGTCCAGCTGTCGGTTATCCCTGGTCTCTGTGTTGTTGATCCTAGGGGAGATGTCATAGTTGGCAGCAATCCCACATCAAGCAGAGGCACTGCAGAGGAAATGAAATGAATCTTATTGGTTTCCAGAGGATATAAAATGTTTTCCAACCAGTTAGTTTACCTTGTTTCACTCTTCCCTTTCCTGTAAAGATCATTTTGCCCTCTTTTCAGGTCAAGGCTCTACCAGCAGCCCCAGCACTAAAGCAGCTTCAAGACACCAGCTCTTTCCTGTGCCAAGTGTGGGAACAAATAAGAATGCACATAAAGAAGTTTTCCTTACCTGTCTTCTTCCTACTGTGCAGTACCTACAATTTGACCTACCTGTGAATCATAGATTATCCCAAGTTGGATGGAACCCATAAGCACTGAGTCCAATTCCTGAAGAGTGAAGTTGTCAGAAGGGACCATGAAGTGATAAAGTAGGAGCAAATGTATCATACATGCATACAATCGTTTCTATATGCAAAAATGAGCATACAAGAACTTACGTCTTCCACCTTCTATCAGAGTTCTATTCAGCAGTGTCTGTTTGTCTGCTTTATGAGGTGCTGCTCCAGTGCTATGACGGTGGAAGTCAGAGCTTTGGCTGGGAAGAAAGAGCCCATGCTGGCCAGCGGGAGGAGTTCTGGGCTCTGCTGATGTCAGTGCCTGCTCCTTGCATGGAAAAGATGCAACATGTGTAAGATAAGTGAGTCAGCCTGGGTCAGGCCCAGAGCCAGTGACTGCTGAGCTCTCTTCCCAGCTCTGCTACTGATTTGCTTGCTGGCCTCAGTGGGTTTGTCAGGCCAGAAGTATGGCATTGCGTGTGGAGGCTGCCCCTGAGGACAGCAGTTGATTTCTCATCGTCCATCATTTCTCACAGCTTCCTGAAATATCAGCCCATCTTCGTCGCCTCCCTGCTTTTCCACCTGATTAGTGGAAGTAACTGTGCAGATACATCCCAGTACTTTGCAAACAGATGAGACAGACCTTGCCAAGGCACACGTGCAATGCTGGGCTCTCAAACCCTCTACTGTAGAACAGAGAAGGGTGAGCTACTGAGAATGCAGCTACAGAAGCACTGAGCTCCGTGTGCCTGGCTTTACCCTGTTGAACATTTTTGGCCTGTTGCTGTTTCCCCATCAATAGCTACAATTTTCACATCTGTCATTCAGCCAAGCCTTAATCCAGGTGATGTGTGCCCTATTCATCCTGCATAATGTGAGCTCATTAATCAAGCTGTCATGTGGTGGAGAAAGCCAAGAGTACTGTGTCAACCAGATCTCTAATCTTGTCTGAAAAAATAGACAACAGGTTTATCTAATGAGACTTACCTTCCACGAAACCCAGCTGATTAGTGCTGCTTTTATTTTTAGCCTCTAATTCCTTATTGTTGGAGGCCTGACTTAACGTCTGGTCTGTCAAGGGATGCTGCCCTGCTAAGCAGCTGATTGCTCCCTGGAGTGTCCCACTGAGGCTTTTGAAGTCCCAGATCAGCCCTGGCACTCTCCCATGTCTTTGGAATTTCCCGATTTGTAAATATAAAACTTCACCAAGTGCTTTAGCTGGTTCCTTTAAGACACAAAGATAGCCAGGCCAGATGATGTGAAAAACATTTAATTTTAGCAGATGCTGCCTCACATCCTCCTTTGTTCCAGATGGTAAACGCTTTACTCCATCCGCAACATCATATGGGATGAATATCCTGCTCACTTCCAAATGCAGAGGAGAAATAGCTATTGAACATTTCTGCCTTTTTGCACCACTGTTTATGATTTTACCATCTGCATTTAGCAATTGGCCTATGCTGCCATGGGGATGTGTTTGGGACAGCAGGCAGCATTGTTCCTAACAGGATTTTTGGAATGCTTTCTACATTTCTTTAACTCAACTGGCAGTTGATAGTCTATTAATCCTTTGGCTTCCTTTTATCAATCCCTTGCATTGTTTTAGCTTGTAGTTTATAATCATTGCCATTCCGTTTCCTCTTGTCTTCCCTGCTTTATACATTGCTTCTTTGAGTTATATTCTTCTTTCTACATCTTTTTCTAAACAGGCTGTTTCTTACCCTACAGATCTATTTTCCATCTCCATCTCCATCCAGCAGAGTATTCTCGGCTAAGCTCCAGTTTTCATTTACACTTCTTATTTTACATTTATGTTTCCAGCCAACTGTGCCAGCTTTAAATTTGTGCATGTAGACACACACATACACATATATACACAAAACTGAGACGCAAGGAGATCACAAAAAAAAAACCAACCAAACAGTTGTGGTACCATTAATTTGTATGAAGTGGGAACACCAAAGAACAGCATTGGCAAGGCGTTGTAATGACCCTGACGTGGGAGAGTGCATTTAGCCCACCCTCGGTATGGTGAGCACGCCTTCAGTCATGTCATAACTAAAAAAAGTCGGTGATCTGTGTCCCCAGGACGGTGCTCTCTGCTGCTCCGCAGAGGTCTCAGTTCCATCAGTCACAGTGAAGTAATGTGATGCACCAGCCTCTGTCTCCAAGAAGTGACGAAGTTTGTCAGCCTGTGCTTGGGATTCTGACAATGATACATGTTTCTCAGGTCTGCTGACTTCAGCAAGGGCACCACTTGGATTCTCTCTTGCAGAAGCTGTGGCTAGAAATTTGACCACAAGGTCACAAGGATTTAGCTTGCCCCTCGGCTACTAAAGTTTCACTGGCAGGAACCCAATCTCCAGCGCAATCTCTTCCACTCCTACCAGGCCATGCACTTGTCTATGGCTTAACTGTTGTTCCTCCACCACAAGCTCTGCCCAATCCTCTACCTCCCAGATACCATCTTTATGGACAAACCCAGATGTCTGAAGCAGTCAAAGATGATGATGAAGCAGTGTTTGTCCAGCACTGCAACCGTGGAGACCCTCCTCTCCACACCAGGTAGCAACATCCTCTCCATTTGGAATTTGGGTTCAACCTTGTGTGCACTCCTGAGTACAGAGATGTGTGTTTATGTTCACAGATGTGTGTGCGCACTGCATGCATAGGCTGGCAATTAGTGTTCTAATCTACATGATGAGATAAATCTAATTTGATTATGATCTGTGGTACAACAGCAACTCCTAATTTTCAGAGATTAGTCCTTCCAATTCAGCAAAAAGGAGGCTCTCTTTTGGGTTACCCAGAGCTGTGCACAGTCTAAGGAACAAGCCTCTATTTTGTTTTTTTCAGCTCCAGGGAGCTGCTGTTGGCTGAGTGAAGTGACCAAACTAACAGTGCACTGATTAAAAATCCTGGTGGGGTTTCCTCCTCTGAGCCATGAAGAGGTGACTGGAGGACTGAATGCACTGTTCTCTTGTGCAGCGAGGTGGTCTTTTCACAGCTGCCCATCAGTATCTCATTTCCAGTTTTATTAATTAGAACTTCACTCCATAAATCACATCTCGTGGCTTACAGTACCAGAAGGAGGACATTTCCTGCTGGTATGGGGCACTAATGCAGTACAGGCTTGCAGAGCTTGGCAGACATACAGTTCCCAGTCCTGGTGCAGAAGCACAGAGATCCCAGGGGCTGACCCTGCACCTCTACAACCAGCATTAACAGGCGGCCCAAACTGGTGGTCATGCTGTTAGAGGTATTCAAATCAAGAAGACAAGATGAGTTAAGAGCAGCAGGAGAGGAGGAATTCAGGCAGTCTCTCTGGTGAGCCTGTTACACTCTTGTCTCATTGCCCAGGACAGCTAGGTAGAGTTGAGGTTGAGTTTCTGTATGCTTTTTGGGTTGAACATTTACCTGTGCTTAACATCCGTGTGACACTAGCTGCTGTGTTCCCCAGTGCACTGTCCCACACAGCCTTCTCAGTAGTACAGTAAACAGTTGCTTTGTCTTTTGTCTTTATTAGTCCCCTAGGAGATAATATTGCCTTTGCTTATGACCCTGTGCTCTTGCTGGTACAGCTGTCTTCCTGCCAGAGCACGTATTAGTTCCTGAGCTCAGGGTACGCACAATGTGCTTTGTTATGTGTTGACACAGACACACACGCTGCTTCACCCTCGTGACGTGGCTCTCTGAGAGCTGAGGGCTGGGTGCCAGGTGGCTGTGGAGGTTTCACGGGATCCAGAATATTTCAGAAGGTCTCCCTGCAAGTCAGAGCTGAGTTTGGAGGGACAGTGGGGTCAGAGCAAGAAAAAAAATAAGAAAAGAAAAGCAATTTACAAAGTTAAACGTAGTGATCTGAGTGGTTGTGAGCTTTCCCAGGGCAGAGGACAGACCTTGCCCAACCACAGGGCCCATTCTGAGAGCAGAGAGTACCTGAGCTGCTCTGAGTCCTGGGCAGCAGGTACAGAGAGCAGAGACGAGCGCTCTCAGGGGATCAACACTGACTTTGTCCGGGGAGCTTGGCTGCCTGCAAAGTAGCTTAAAAGGTTATCCTAGGTAAAAAGAAGCAAACAAAGCAAACTTGTGGGCTTGTTTCCGTGGATACTTGCCTGGAAGTGGAGGCATCCTTTAGAAGTCTTCGTAGCCTCAGTGCCACAGATTGTTATGAATCACTTGGGACAAATATATCCTCAAAGCAACAATGACTTTTTAGTCCATTGTAAGTAGCTCATGTGTTGATGTTTTAGAGAATAACATTGCTTAATGTGTTTATACTTTCTGCAGGATGACGCAATGAGCTCTCTGTATAAGGTAAGCAGCTCTTGTGGAAAGGCCCAGATGGCAGGTATGGCACAGCCTCCTGAGCATCTTGTTCTCTGCAGGGCTCTCCTCACAGCTCTCTAGATGTGTACTTTTCTCTCTTTATTCCAGCACATACACACAAAGCGCCCGTTTGTAGCCCGTTCCAATTTTGCCTGCCTCAGGGGCAACACTCGAACCTCCCAAAAATTTAGTAAACTCCCTTCTGTGTGTTTATGTAGCCTTTCATCAAAGACTATAGAAAGAGGCCATGTGGTCTTGTGGCTAGATCAAAGCTAGAAAGCTCCTGAGATCTAATCTAGGCTGCACCAGTGACTCACTGGGTGGTTTTGGCAAGTCACATGATCTCCATTTGCTTAAGTCTATCCAGCTGAAAAAAGCAGGCAAGAAATGCATGCTGGCCCCAACCTGAAGCCAGCATAGATGCATTGAAGGAAAGAATCTAAACTGATCTATCGCACATTTGGGCTAGAGGTAATTCTCTGTAACAAAGATGCCAATAGCACACGTTGCCATTGGACCTGTGGCTTGTCCTGTGCCTCAGCAAACGCTGGATTATGTCAACAAAAGGCTGCACAGATGCATCAATCCTGCGGATGCCGCACTGCTTTTCATTCCATTCTATAATTCGTCCTCCAGCTGTGAGTGCCCTATTTTGCCTGCTTCTCCTGCAAAAGACAGGGGCAGCTCTTTTCCCATTCCTTTGTTATTTGCCATTTAACCAGGATCTCCCAGGACGCAGCATGTGAGTGCATGGGCAATTACCACAGCGCACGCATGCAACGGCGTTATTGCTTTGCATGGGCCTGCATCCCATAACACAGCTCCCAAGCTGCCTCCAGTGGGAAAAGCCCAGCTCGGCAGCTGCTGATCCCAATCTCCAGCTAGTATTTATCCAACAATTCCTCCCGGAGAGGTTCTCCAGTGGCAAATAATTTCCCTCACGTGTTTTCGCCTTACACCTGTTTTGAGGCTGAGAACATTTAGGAAGGCAATCCTGATCCTAATCTACATTGTAATCCATTCAGCTGCGCATGGGGAGCAGTGAGCAATCTGTTTGCCCAACAGTTGTAATATTTGGAGAGAGGTGGTGCGCCAAGAGTTACGCTGCTGCGTTGTGACTGAGTCACAGGCAGAGCAGGAGCAGGGAAGTAAAAGGCTAAAAGTAAAGGATTTCCAGCATCTGGAAAATGCTGAGATTTTTTGCTGTTGCTGAAATCACCATTTGCTCTCATTTTTGCAGTTCTTTGTGAAGGAAGGCATGGCTGGAGAGCCTGGAAGGGTGTTACATAGCTGGAAGGGCTGAAAGTCTGGAGCCAAACCTTGAGGATAATGTTTGTGGGGAAAGAAATTGAGACCCTATGTCTAAATCTCAAAAACTGCTTTTTTTTTATATTCATCTTCCATGACGGAATAAAGTTTGTAATCACAACTGAGCAAAAGCACTTTTAAGTATTTATTAAAACCCACTCCAGGTTAACAACCTGCGAGTGGCCATTCTGCCAATTCTATTCTAAACCCAAAAGAAATGATGCGCTTATTTGCCCTAGAGGTAATAAAACCAGTTTTTCCCCTCCCTAGAAATACACTTGGATTAGCCCAACAGGCACAGCAGGATCAGCAGTGACTTCTGATGCTTATCCTCCCATTGTAGCAGCGGCCACCAGAGCCAGACCTTGGTTTGTGGCAGTGCTGCTGGGCTGGGTCCAAAGCCATGGGGCTGCTCAGTGCAGGATTACTAGTGAGCATCGGGGTGAAATGAGACATCAGGCTTGGAAGGTGCTGGCATCCCCTGTGCTCTATTAAATGTATTAACAAGTAATGGAATAGTGAACTCCTAAGTAAAGTGGAGTAATTAAAACAATAAAATTTTTAAGGTTGAGATGATGCCTTTTGTTGTGGGTGGAAGGCAAGGGGAATAAAAGCTTTTCATCTGCATCAGCCCTGTGAAGGAGCCAATTGGAAGGAGCTGGAGAAGCAGGACCTTGCTCACTGCATGGAAACCAGAAGGGGCAGAGAGAGGTAAGTCCTTGGGCCATGCTCAACCCTATGCAAGATTGTAATGACCACCTACATCTTCTTGTCTTCCATTTCCCCCCAGAGCCTTACTGTTAAAGCTTTGCCACCAGGATCCATGGATGTGAGCAGCGAGCAAGGCTTGCATTTTGCACGTGGCTGAGTTTTGCTGCAGTGAGTAAAAAAACCCAAATCCTGATGGCTGAATTTGATAACAGGAACTACCACGCCTGGGTACTGAATATGGGAAGAGTCAGACTTCGGCCCTGGGCTCAAACAGCTCTGCCCTCGATGGAGAGCCCAGGGCGGCACTTTACTTACAGAAAGTGCTGATGCCAACAAATACCATAATAGTGGAAGTAACTTTAACAAAGCATTGCTGGCTAGCACAGCACTTCTGAACTCAAGCCTTTTTTTTTCTTTAAAGCTGTTTTGAAAGTTAATTGTTGAGCTTCAAAAAAAAAAAAAAAAAAAAAAATTGAGTTGGGCAACTATTTATGCCAAGGTTAAATTGGGTCAAATCCTGAAATCCTGACTTCAGGCCAGACTCTGCAGTTCCCATTGATTTACACAGGAATGTTGCATGCACTGGGAAAATTCTCCCTGAGTTGATGCTCTGTGTCCACAGAGAGAAAAGAGTTTGGATCTCTAGGTTTGACCCAGCAGGCAGCAAGCAGGATGGTAGTGCAGCTGGTTGGCAGGAGGAGACTGGGTTTGCTCCAGGTGACAATGGTTGTGTTATAATTTATGTCAGAGAAGAACCCCTGAATGCATTCTTAGTATGGTTGCGCTATAGTTCATGCCAGAGTAATTTCCTCATATACCCCAAAGATCTGTCATGGCATCTGCAGGACCAGATGCCCTATGAATGGGTCCTGGCTTGTATATACAGAGGACATGGACAGGCTGCCAGGGCTTCATGGCAGCTCCCTGCTATTCAGCAACAGCAACATCTGGTTTGAGTGAAGCCTTTCTAACTTGCACCAGTGGGGTAGGACCCACAGGAGCGCTTTTTGACGCTCTCCTAGCAAAGGAGGGGCAACTGGGATAAAAAGAGAGGTGATGCATTGGCACAGGCTGCCCAGGGACGTGGCGGAGTCATCGTCCCTGAAGGTGTTCAAGAAAAGTGGAGATGTGGCACTGAGGGACGTGGTTTAGTGGGCATGGTGGGAGTGGGTTGATGGTTGGACTAGATGGCCTTCGAGGTCATTTCCAGTCCTAATGATTCTATGATTCTATGATATGAGATTGCTTCAGAGGGCTTGTGCTGCATGTCTGTGTTGCAAGGAGCATCCTCATCTGGCCTATAAAGGGAAAATCCAGCTCCTTGGAGAAGGGTGCTCTGGTGTCTTTCTAGAACATTTACTAAGAATGATATTTATTTAGCCTTACTTTGAACTGCTGCAGCAGCCTGGATCATTAGCTGCATACTTTATTTTGTTTTGTTTGATTGCTTCCCGAACTTAACCCCTCCCTATGAGGGCTTTAACTGAAGGATTTCTCCCTTTGTTTTTGAGGGCTACACATTTGGAGCCTGCAGACATACCTAAGGAAGGAGCACTGCTGCAGTGTCTTGCTGGCTGTATGATGTGGTGGGCACTGGAAAAATCTCACTGCCCTACTGTACTTTGGCATGTGAGGAGACTAAGTTCTCCTGCCTATTATGAAGCCACACGTGCTAGTTATTTCCAAATGAATCAATTGCCCTTTTAAAGCCACAGCTGCGAGGCTGCAGTCTGTCTACCACTGGCTGCAGTCCTACCCAGCATTACTCCCTGTGTGTCATCCCATTGACTCTGAGAAGCGCAGTGGACATTTGGGGCTTTCTGATTACTTGCCAAGCCACAGACACGCTTCCACTCACATGGCACTGGAGCCCCTTGCAGCTGGAGCGCTTTCCAAAACTATTCAGCTTGACCTTTGCTTGAGACATATGACAGCTTCCTAGCAAAGATGAATCTCGTTTCTGGAGAAATTGCACTAAGGCCACCGTGGTATATTTCCAGAAATAATCAAACACAAACATTCACAGGGGTCAAAATATCTGTACACCTGTTTCCTGGGAAGGCAGCGGGCGGCTGTCGGGGCCATCTCAGCTGTTCCAGTGCCCCAGCAAGATTAGCACCTGGGTAAAGAGCAGCTGATGGTTGCAGAAAATAGCAAGACGGAGGCCAAGCCAAAGGGAAGAAGAGAAGTGAAGACTGCATCACTTTTCCAGAGGTTTCTACCTGTTATGGGTGGGGACCAGCACACACTAGCGCTGCAGGAGGAAGCTTGGGATGTTTATGAGTGGTCATAAATGGTGTTCCCCACTACTGGGATCACCACTGGGGCCCATCCTGTTTAATATCTTTATTGATGACCTGGATGAGCAAATTGAGTGCTCCCTCAGTACATTTGCAGGTAACACCAAGGTGGGAGGAAATGTTGCTCTGCCTCGGGTCAGGAAGGCCCAACAGATGGATCTGGATATGTTGGACTGCTGGGCTGAGGCCAGTGGGATGAAATTCAACAAGATCAAGTTTTGGGTCCTGCACTTTAGGCACAACAACTTTAGTCTGGAGTAGAGGAGTCTCAGGGGGGAACTTATCACTCTCTGCAACTCCCATGAAAGGAGGTTGTGGTGAGGTGGGGGTTGGCCTCTTCTCCCACGTAACAGCAATAGAATGAGAGGTAATGGTCTTAAGTTATGCCAGGTAGGTTCAGGTTGGATATTAGGAGAAATTTCTTCTCAGAAAGTGTAGTGAGGCTTTGGAACAGGCTGCCCAGGGAGGTGCTGAAGTCACTGTCCCTGGAGGTGTTCAAGAAACATGGAGATGTGGTACTTAGGGTAATGTTAGCTGGCAATATTGGTGGTAGGTGGACAGTTTAACCAGATGATCTCAGTGGTCTTTTAAACCCTTATGGTTCTACAAATGACTCTGAGAGCCCTGAGCAGCACCTCCAACTCCAAGGCATGCATCCCTAAAACATCTCTACAAACCTATCCCGTAGCACATGTGTTAAAACCCTGACTCCGAACCCCGTCCCCATGCTGCAGGTGCAGTGCTGCCAGCAGTGACAGGTGGCCACCTCTGTCAGCACCTCACCCAGTGCCCGGCACCGCTCTGCGCTGGGCGAGGCCTCTTCCTCTCAGGCTCTGACTCATGCCCACATGCGTGAGCAGGATGTGCATCACGGGCCGGCCCGGTCCCTGCTCGCCCACTGAGCCCCATGAGGACAGCCCTGCCCAAGGGCAGCAGCTGAAGGACTCCAAACCACACGCAGCACTGAACTGAAGTGAGATGTACCTCCAGCACGGCCCCCTCTAGCATAGAAGTCCTGGCTCCAAGACGACCCAGTGTGGACCATACTATCAACATGCCTGCAAGCACATCCACGCAACCATCACACAGCACAGGGAGGGGTTCCCTCACGGTCAGGGGCCCATCCTTGATGTGCTGAGACCCTCTCCCCGTGGTGCAGTGGCACAGTCCTCGCTCCACGATGGGGAGAGGCCTTCCAGGGCCATGGCTGCGGTCAGCACACGGTCACAAGCCGGCTGGGCCACATCGTGGTGTGGCGAGGTCCTCCCCTCCGGCCGAGACACACGTCCTGCTTTTCCTCACACACCCGAAGAAAAAGAAGAAGAGAAGATTGAGAAAAATGTTACTAAGTCAGGAAATCATTCTGGAGGAGGGGGAGCAGTTCCTCTAACCTCGTGTATGTGGAAAGAAAGCTATTTGCTGACTTGGCCTTATTTTTTAATTTATTGTTTTGCCAGCTGCTCAGATAAAAGGACAAAGCTCTGCCTGCTGTAATGAGGCAGCCGCTCAAGCATGCCTGTACAGCACAGAGCATCTGGTCGGGACACTGGTGACATGTGGAGAACAGTCCAAAGGGTGCACAGGACACATCCTTTTAAATCCCTCAACAACGAGGACTGAGCACTGGCTCTTTCTTCCTCCCATGAGAACTGGAAATCTCCTGGAGATCATTAACTTTGGCAGACAGGGCTCTCACATATTAAGGATCACAAGACCTGTGATACAAAATCCCACGAGCTTGCTGATTAAGCCTTTCTGCCAGGCGTCCACCACCCCAGGCTCCACAGCCATCTCCCAGGGAGACCTCCCATGGACACAGGCCAGCTGGTTCTCTGCAGGAGTTCCTGTCATTTTCTTGTGTTTTTGAGAATATTCTCTTTCCAAGAAAAGGCCAGTAGTGGCATTCTGCTCTGGAGCTCATCGCTGCAGGATCTTGAGACCTGAAAGAACAGACAGTCAAAGACCCTTTATCAAAGGAAGGTCCTTGGAAGATGGCTAACCGCCATGTTGGACATAAGTGAGCCATGCTGTCCCAGTGCCACAGCAAGGACATCACAGGGGGAGCTTGAAAGGCATCTGCCAGTGCTTCCAGGGGACAAGTGGGCCTTCTGGCCTTACAGACACAGGCAGTTTGTGCACATATATTGGTGTGGAGGGGAAAGGATTCATCACCATGCTGCTCAGGTAACAGTCCACACACGGACCAGGGTGGGTTTCACGCTTTCACCTGGAGCTCGGGTGCTGTTGTGCCTCTGCTTTGTCACTAAGGATCAGGGGTGAACATGGCGAGCTTTACCTTGCTGTATTTACTCACTGGGGGAAGCAGTTACTCACACCAGGCCTTTCACAGCAAAGTCATTGTGACTGGGCTAGAGAGCAGTGTGCAGGCTTCTGTCCCAAATTATGCCAGTGCTTCTGCCCCACTTTATTCTATGATTCCATGATTATGTCAGTACTTTGCCCCCAGTTGATGGCATGGCAAAGAAACCTTGCAGTATATAAAGCTCTGTAAGAATACAACTCTGACAAGTTGAGACTGGATGGGGATATCATCACAAGGCCCAACAATGGCTTTACACTCAATTACATTTATGGTTTCTGTGATTCATCTAAATGTTTGTGGCTTTGTCACTACCTGGAAGTTAAGAAAAGAAAAAGAAAAAGAAAGCCCCGGAATGAACAGTTTTCTGCTGCAAGACACTGGGTGACACAACAGAAACTGAGCAACTACCTTTGGTAGTAGGGAAGAGTCATTTTCTGTGCTGACCAGAGC